GCCTTGAACTTTCATATGATGCTTTTCTTATGGAAAGATTTTCATTTTCATTTGGTTAAAAAATAAGGATATTTCAATAGAGAAACTTCTATCTGTAGAAAAAGAAGTGATGGAACATTTCAATCATTACTGTTCTTTTATGAATTATGACTCAAAGTACAGGTGGTCCTTGACTTACAACAGATCATTTAGTGACCATTCAAAGTTACAACATCACTGAAAAAAGTGACTTATGACCATTTTTCATACTTACAACCCTTGCAGCAGCCCCACAGTCATGTGATCAAAATTCAGACAGTTGGCAACTGACTCGTATTTATGATGGTTGTAGTGTCCCGGGATCATGTGATCACCTTTTGCAACCTTCTGACAAGCGAAATCAATGGGTAAACCAGATTTACTTAACAAACATGTGACTAACATAACAACTGCTGTGATTCACAACAATTGTAGCAAGAAAAGTCATAAAAATGGGGCAAAACTCACTTAACAAATGTCTCGTTTAGCAACATAATTTTGGGCTCAATTGTGATTGTAAGTCGAGGACTACCTGTATTTAATTCCTGAAGATCCATAATATTTATCTGTGTATGTGTGTTTGTGTCTATGTGTGTGTAAGCTATTTATTTGCTTTATATTAATTGTGTGCTATTCATTTCATCAGACTCTGGATAGGTCACAAAAATGATCCTCCTATAAAATCTCTCTTTATACTACAAAACTCTTGTTCCCATAACTTTTAACTGGGTGAAATGGTGTATCATATGGCAACAATTTTTGAACCAAGATACCTCAGATGGGCTAACTTATAGAATGAGTCTAAAGTTTGGAACCCATGACTCCCATGGAATTGAAATTTGACAAATTTTATAGAACTCTTTATGATATAGAAGTTATCATAAAACAGTTTATGACATAATGTCATAAAACATTTCCTGTGTTTGACAGGGCAATACATGGGCTAGTTTCAAGGCAGATACATCTCTGAATGTATCCCAACTTTTCTAGTGAGGGCAGTGCATTATAAGTTCTGTCATTGTTGAAAATACTGGGGAATCTGATAAGGAAATATTTATGAAAGGATAACCTTAATTGCTAAAAACATTGCTTAAATGTCCAAGAAAAATAGTGATTATTGTTATTTTAGCTTACTGTCTGAAAGCTCCCCCCAAAAGTATAGTTTCATCTGCTTTAAGAATGCTTTTAACGAGAGTGCCATTTTTCACCATAGAGTAGAGAATTCTATAGACTTGGCACCTCCTTAGGCATATAGAGAAAGGTCTTTTCCATAATGCTGGTTCTACGCTGCTGGGAGAGGAAATTTACCAAAAATGTTTCCTGTGTAGCATGCAGAAGAATAGAGAATCTGCTTGGAGGAGGCAGACCCATAAGAATAAAGCACCTGAGCCAAATAGGCTGTCATACAATTTGAGTCCACCCTGAAAATCTTCCAATAGCCAAAATAACCCCCACAAGATGGATATGATACTGCTGAATCAGGACTCTCTCTTCAACAATCAGGTAGCTGCATTTTGAACTTGTGCAGTTTCAGGTAGTTTTTGAAGGCAGCCTCATGAAAACTGCATTATCTATTTAAAAACATTTATTATTGATGAAATCTCACTTCAGATGACCTTCAGACCTGATAAATGACCTTCTACACTACCACTTTAGTTCATTGCCATCAAAAAATACATAGCAGCTGCTAATCGATATGCTATTCTACCTATGTTTTTGTCATACTCAATTCTAAATAACAAACATGACATGGAAAATATTAGAACAATATTATTTAAAATCACACTGGCACCAATGGATAACAAAAAAAATTAGTTTATAACATGTATTCGATCTGTTGATTCAATGTTGATTTAATTCTGTTTTGACATGTTTTACCTGCCCAGTCTTGCCACAATACATTTTTATATTCAGTGTGATTCCTGAAAGCAAGAATCTTTTTAGCATTGATTTACAGAGGCTTTACCTTACTGAGATACGCAGGTCAAACTGATAACCATCTTAAAAATGCCCAAAAGTATATACAATGAGAATTGGAATATAAATACAAACATGCATGCATCTCGATCTGTAAATACTATTGACTGAAACAAAAAAGCCAATGGTGACTTAATATTTCCTGCCTTCAAAGGAGATAATATATTTTATGTTTCATTTCCTTCATGCCATACACAGTATTGCACAAAAAAATGTAGACACTACATATGTCATGCTTCGGTATATAATACAGAGATGCTGTACAAGATTAATTTTTATCCTGACGAGAATTAAGTCATTAGAACATTTCCTTCTAATTAACTTTGGGAACATCCTCATTTATGCCAAACAAATGAATATGAAGGCTAACAGGAGCTTCATACTATTTTTAACATTCATTTAAATAAAATAAATCATTACAGTAGCAACTGAGCATATATTTTAAGGAAGAACATGTAGAAACCATAATGAGCTATCAAATATCTCTTCTAATAGCTCATATTCTTTAAAGTATATATTATATGCTAAGAAATGTCAAGCACTGCTGAAAGCTGATGTTTATGTCTATATCTTTAAACAGAGGAGATATAAGCATATATCCTATATAAGCATCTACGGTGTACAAAGTGCAGGGACCCACTAAACAGAAAAGTCCTGTGAGCATACAACTTTAATCAGATTAACAGTTATATGATGCCATGTTCATAATTGGCCATCAGCAATCTCATCTCAAAATTAAGCAGCTATAGTTCACTGGTAGAGATGTAGATACAGTGGTACCTCAGTATTCATCATTAATTGGTTCCAGAAGGTGCGAAGAGTACTAAAAATGAGTGCCATACAAACCAAGTGACTAATGCATGAGCCTTTGTTTTGGCTTGAAAGGGTAGCGAGTCATGAGGCAGCTGATATTAACAAGTTCTAGCTTGCACATCAAGTACAAACAAACAATAAGTACCAGGACAAAATTTTCACATCAAAATGAGTCAAGTATCAAATTTGATGAGTTTCAAAGCAGTTGAATACCAAGATACCACTGTAAATAATTAAACAGAAACTGAGGACAGAATCTAGTCAGTATCATTGGTTTCTGTTGACCAAATGGAAATAGGTAAACAGAACTGCTTCCTCCTGCTTTCTCTCTGACATTTGGAGACCATATAAGAGAACTTGGCCAAAGAAGACAAGAAAGAGTCCCATTGCATTAGTGGAAATCTAATACTGGGTCCCTTGCTAAACAAGTATGTCTTTGATTTCAGCATTGTCATGGGTGCCCATGGATATCAGGCTAAATATTTATAATATTGAGCCTGCTTTGGTCATCTCGATGTGACGTAGATAGGAAATTGGGGGTGAGGGTGCAACCCTGCTAGTTTTCTGGAATCTCTCTATGAATTTGGGGTCTTGGAGGCACTGTTTTGCAATGGTTCTGATCCTTTTTGTCAATACATACCCAGAAGGTGTGCTGGAGGAATACTGTTCCACAACTTGATGGTTGCGGTATAGAATTCCTCAGAGATCTATCTTGCCCTGTCTACTACTGCTACATGAAACTAAGATGTGTTGTCTAGAGCTTTAGAGTTGGTTACAAATAGTAGACTGACGAGATTAACCCTACTCTTCTCTGTCATCAAACCCCAAAGCAGCAATTAATATCTCTGCATACTGATTAATTTTGATAATAGGGCTAGATAAAAATAATCTGAAATCAAATTCAGATAAGGTAAAAGAAAACTAGACTTGGAGGTTGAGGTGAAATGTGTCTGGCATGGACTTGCACATATCTGGAAAGAGCAGGTTGCAATTTAGGAGTGTCTCTTGATCTTCAGCTGTTATCAGATTTGCTAGTAATAGTTGTGATGAGTGTACCTGCATACATATAGCTAATGTGCCAACTGTGACTTTTCCTGAGCCAATCAGACTTAGTGATAATTATCCATGCCTTCATTATAACACCTTGATTTCAGTACTATCCTAAAAGTGCCATAAAATGGCAACTACAATGGTCAAGCTGCTAAATGATGTGAGGAAGAGAGAATATGGTATAGTGGTATATCTATATCACCTGTTTATTTGCTGTTCAATTCAAGATGCTGATGTTGACTTTTAAAAGAATGTGAATCTTGCTCTTCCACGATGAATTCAGAACAAGATGGCCCCATTCTTATCTATCTTATATATGGAAGAAGACCCTTTCTTCTATTGCAGTGGTTCTCAACCTTTCTAATGCCGTGACCCCATAATACAGTTCCCCATGTTGTGGTGACCCCCAAGTGGGTGTGGCCACCAATAAGAGGGAGTAGGACAGCTAGGGAAAAGGAAAAAAAATGGCGGACAGCGTGGTTTGGCGACCCCCGTGAAATGGTCGTTTGACCCCAAATGGGGTCCTGACCCACAGGTTGAGAACCACTGTTCTATTGCTTATTAGCTGTGAAAGTCATTCCCCACTCTCACAGGACTAGAAAAATATATTTTTGGTGTATCGACTTCAACCTATTAATTGATTTTAATTATGCTGATTTGAATGGTTTCAATTCTACTAATCATACTGTATAAATAAAACCTCATATTATGTTTCAATAAGAAAAAAGCATAGCATACAATATGCATCTGTTAGCATACCAACATAATAAATCATATTAAACAGTCTGCATGTTTTTTATTTAAAAATACCATTTCGTAATGTTTCCAATAGAAAAGTATACAATTATTAATCATTTATTCTGCTCAAAATATTGAAATCCAAACAATGTTATTCCAATGTAGTTTGATTTAGTTTGCCTTAATTTGCCTCCTGTATATCAAACAATTGTCTTATCCTAGTTATGACCTTCCACTTTTACCTGATTAAAATAATACAGAATAATAAAATATGAATGATCTAACTTTTAAAATAAAAATACATCGTTTGAATTTATTTTGTCTTTCCTGTAAGAATCCCAAGGAATGGCTCTATGATTGAATTGGCTTTGCTTTATAACCAACAACTATGATAAACAACTTACTGATGTATAAAGGAATCCTTCTCCATTTAGGGCTATGTACAAGCCTGTTTTTACACCCTGGATAGCAACAACTCGAAGTCCCACTGGTATGAGGTTGAACAATGCTGCAAAAATAAAGAAGATCTATCACAGGGAAGCAAAGACATGAATGAAATAATACTGCTGACATAATAAGCATAGCTTATAGCATTTTGTATACACTATCATGATAGATAAAATAGGTAATGAAATGAAATCCCATTTACAGTAATAGGAGCGGTGTTTATAAAACCTGCTACACCAATTGGAGGCCACTCTTGGCTTCTGATTGGAACGTGAACCCCAGTCCTTCCCCACAGCCCATTTTTGATCATCACAGTCTTTCCAGGGACAGCATGGCACTGTTTTCTTTGTTGAAGAGGAAGATTTGGGGAAAGGTTAAGAACAATACTTTAGCAATTAAAAAAAAAACTTCTTATCCCATATACTGCAAATAATTGTTCATTCTTGCACTAAGCCATGTTACTCAATGGTCATGAGCTTCACACATCCATTGAACTACACCACAGCCCTTTACAGTACATTGACTTGTGCAAACCCAGGCCAAATTTTGACCCTGAATATATTATAAGTGAACAATAAAACAACAAAATTCAAATATATTCTTAGACTAGTGCAGAAGGAGCTTTAAGTTAACTTTAAATACATTTGTATTTTGGTCACATTTTGGTTCAATTACTTTTCATGTATGGACATAGTGCAGCAAACAAACAACGTGGTACAGTCATTCATCACATAAACAAAATAATTTATTCATCTTGGCAACTCTGCCAAGGTATTCATCTGATACCTCTAGTTAGTGAATTGCGCTGGCTCACAGTAGACCTCCAAATACAATTCAAGGTGACAGTTGTTACCTATAAAGCCCTTCATGGCTCAAAAGTTATTTGTGGGATTGTCTTTCTCTAGATCTTTCTGCCACTCTACATGCTCCAGCAGAATTGGTGTGCTGTAGAGCCTCTTCTTGAGTTAATGCCATCAGGAGAGATTTAGGAGAAGTACCTTTTCTGTTGCGACACCTGTCCTGTAGAAATATCTCCCCTCAGAAATTTGATCCTGATCCTACTAGTCTTTGAAGACATTATCTGTTCCCTTGGGGTTTGGGCCAAGATGTTGGATGAATTGAGAGGTGGAGGATACAGTATAGCGATGTGCCCTGACTTTGTATTTGTTATCTCTGTTGATTTTGTGTGTTTCATTGCCGAGGCTATTGTATTGTTTTTATTACTATTCACCACCCAAAGTTGCATTTTTACAATCTGAGTGGCTACATAAATCCATAAATAAATCAATAAATAAATTTGTGTATGCTGAATGTACATTTTGAGGTGGATATCAATGCTAGTATTCAGAAAAGCTACATTCACAAATATATTAAGCATGAGAAAAACCTGAGAAAAGGAGCCTAAAACAAACCTTAGAAATAAGGGGAAAATGTCTTTTATAGACATGTAATCATGATATTTAACAATTATATAACAGTTTTGGGAAACTCAAAGAAAAAAATTAATTGAATAACCCTTACAACTATTTCATAAAACAATCAGTACTGGATCCCTTGCTAAACAAAACACCAACAAAGGATGGAAAATAATCAAGGAGAAAACCAGGCTAGAACCAAGAAGCAATTTCCTAACAATGAGAAGAATTAACTAGCTTGCCTTCAGAAGTTGTGGAAGAGACTGGACAGCTCTTGTCTGAAATAGTATAGGGCCATGGTGGTGAATCTATGGCACGCATGCCACAGGTGGCATGCAGAGCCCTCTCTGTGGGCACGCGCGCCGTCACCCCAGTCCTAGGCCTTCAGCTGGGTTTTATAAAACCTTTTGGCTTTAGGCAAAAAAAAGGAAGGTTCAATCAATTTCAACTTCTTACGGGAAAAAAAAAGATCTCACAAAGTTGGAATTGATTGATTGAACTTTTTAGTCTCACCAATCTGCCGTTACCATTGCAGTCACACCCACCCAATGGGCCACACCCACTGGCATCCAACGATACGTAAGTGGGTTTTGGGTTGCAGTTTGGGCACTCGGTTTCTAAAAGGTTCGCCATCACTGGTATAGGGTTTCCTGCTTGAGCAGGGGATTGATTAGAAGACCTCCAAGATCTCTTCCAACTCTGTTATTCTATTATTCTAAAATGTTGATAGAGCTGTGTGAACATTCTATCCATGGCAATTCTTAGGTAATAATCACCTTTCTTTATATGATTTCAGGCTATCGTAAGAAAGTCTCTCTTAATTAGATTTTAGCAAAGACTTCTGAACAACAAAGCAGTATATGAAGAATTCAAACTGAGGGAATGTATTCTGGAGCATTGTTTCTCCCATCTTTGGTACAGGAGTAGAGCACTCAAGGATTACGGTGAGGTAGAAGAGCTCTTTTCATTTTCTGAAGACATCAGCAGATATGAAACAGAGACATGATTTTAAAAATGGCATAACAGGAACCAAAAAAACACAGAAGACAGACAAACGATGGATATTCATTTTGGAATGATTAACTCCACATGTTGCGCGTATGTAGTAATGAATAGATTTTTAGAGCACTTACTAGAATTAGTGCTGTCATCCTTGGTTCCATCGAGACTTCCATCTGGGTGCATTTGCAAGTAGTAGCCTTGCCTGCAATATAACCTGGTCACTATGCCCTTGAGCTGGGGATCTGAAAAGACAAACATATATTGTCACTAGTCACAATACATTTACATAAGATGTCTCTATATCTTTCTTTCAGAAATAAAGTACATTAGAACCAGGTGTCAGCCCCATTAGGCACACCTGACCAGGAAATCAAGTCCACAGGAAGATTAAAGCTACTTTTACTGGGGTTGGCTATAAACTTGCAAGTCTCATTGTACTGATCCTTTTTATACATCACTAACTTAGAGAGGTATTTGCATCCGTTGCTTTTCTGAATGTTATCTTGTTATATGAACTTTAAAACATTTCACCTCTTTTTGCCTAGGTAATGCTTCTTCTTCATTATTTATTTGTCAACCTAATTTATAGAGCTGTCCATCTAACAAGCACTTTTTTTATCAAAAATTTATTTATAATACAATTAAAAAAAACATTGGCTATAACGTGACATTCCAGTATATACATTCTTATCAAATTATGCCACAGTTTACAATCGGTTCTTCATCTCTGAATATACATCTAAATTTTATATACTATACTTATTCTAAAATTACATATATTTCTATCTTAACACTAGCCTATAATCCCAACCGTCCTCCTGTTACTTGTAGGAAATGCACAGCAGTACATCATATATGTTTTTAAATTCTTGCAACAAAAATTAAACTAAATGCAATGCATCCTGTCAACCTTTATCTAAAGATGACTTTTTTTCCCAAAGGTCCTACCCTTAATCTGGAATATTCTTTAAATACTTCTAAGAAATAAACTGAGTAGAGACTCTTTATTACAATGAACTAGAAGAATTAGCATAAGCTGAACATGCTAATAATTAAGATCATGTAATTACTGAACAAAAATAAAATTTTCTTTCCCTAGTTTACATTATTCATTCGTAAATATGGTCTCATTTGAGTCAAGTTTGATTTCTGACCTTTTCATGAACAGGTGAGAAATCAAACTTGACTCAAATGAGACCATATTTACGAATGAATAATGTAAACTAGGGAAATAAAAAATTATTTTTGTTCAATAATTGCGCAATTTTAATTATTTTCGTGAACAGACAGATCAATTTCTTAATAGTAATACAGAAATAGTCTGCCTTTCTTTCTAGCCTACAGTCTGGCATTTCTTGGTGTTTCCCATTGAAGTATCAATTAGATCTGGCTTAGTTTTTCAAGGCCAACCATGGCCAGCTAGATGCTTAATTTTTGTTAACAAAGGTACCATTTGGTAAGTTGATTAGTTAATAATGAACACAGTTTTACCAAAGAACATTAAATATTAAATGATTTCCTCACCCATTTCCATCAAAATCAATGTCCCCAAAAAGTTAACAATAAATTAAACCCACACACATTTTAAAATACCATTGAGGTCAACTTCATGCGGCTTAAATTTAACAGACACTTGATATCGCAATTTGATAACAATCTTTTGTATTAGAATGAAGTCAGAATGCGATACCAAGTATATTTTAATCTGATGGGTTTTTTCCCACTATCCTATGAATTTAATGAGCCCTGAGTGCTTGGACCACTCAGGCTTACTGCTAAGTTCAATTGCTTGTTGACCTAAAAGCCGTAGTGATGCAGTGGCTAGAATGCAGTATTACAGGCTAATTCTATTGACTGCCAACTGCCAGCAGTTCGATCCCGAGAGGCTCAAGGTTGACTCAGCCTTCCATTCTTCTGAGGTAGGTAAAATGAGGACCCAGATTGTTGAGGGCAATATGATGACTCTGTAAACCACTTAGAGAGGGCAGTAAAACACTGTGAGGTGGTATATAAGTATATAAGTCTATTCCTATTGCTAACTAACATTCCTGTCCTGGTAAACTCTAGATTTTATAGTAACTCCCACAATCAAGAATGCAATTATGAATACAGTAAATATCCACTTATTCCACTCAGGAATCAAACCAGCTTATAGGTTAAAAATAGGTTTATAGGTTTTTAAGAAGAGACTGGACAGCCATTTGTCCAAAATGGTGTAGGGTTTCCTGCCTGAGGAGGGGGTTGGACCAGATGACCTCCAAGGTCCCTTCCAACTTTACTATTATTATTATTATTATTATTATTATTATTATTATTATTATTATTATTATTATTATTATTATTAGTTTATTTAAAAATTGACAATTCGTGCATAATTAACAGGGTAGAAACTAGGACTTTAGAATAAATGCAGTATATGCTATGTAATCAGCAGGAAAAGCCTTGTTGTAATAATAAAAGTTCACACATAATACTGGAATCAGTCTTTGGTTTCTGTTTGAAAATATAGTGCTTTTGTGATAAAGATTTGCTCAAAATAGTTATTGAAAGTATCTATCAAGTAAAGTGCCAGATTTATATTCTATAGAATTTGGTTCAAATTCTATCGTAGTCTTGCTCATATGACACAATAATTACTCTGTTACAAATAAAGTTCTCGTATTATAACAGACTATTAGTCCACCTGGATCAATTAATTCAATACTGACTAAATAATATTCTCTAAGATTAGAGACATCAGTGTTTCCTAGCAATTCTTGTACATTCCAGAGAATGAACTCATCACTTTTGCATGTAAAACGTATCAAAGATAATGATATTACTTTTAAATTGTAGTAGCTAAAAATTCAGTCAGTAAAAGTGTTTGTTTGAGAGTAAGCTTAATAAGATTCTCTTTTTCTCCAAATGATATAAACAAGATTTAGCAAAATTCAGTGTAATTCCACTGTCCCATCATTTCCATGCAACCAAGATTGCAAATGATGACCTTCAAAAGTAATTTAACTTAGTGATCTTAGAATGTAATATAAACTGATCTTTAACAAGATTGCAAGTCCATGTTATTGGATATACACTGCCAAAAGAAAATAAAAGGCATTTGTATTAATTTTGTTTTCAGAGCGTTTACTTTTTATTAGTAATTGAACAATATTTTATTTTTAAACTCTTCTAACTATTTTAGAATATTTAACAAAAATATGATAAAGTTGTGCTGTAGAAACAAGTTTATGGCTCTTCTCATCAGTCATATACTGTGCATTACCCATGCTTGATATATCCCAGGTGTCTAAGGTAGATCAGATTAGGAAACAGATACCAAAATAATACTATACTCTATTGATACAGGCTGTATATCAGAATCTTTTTTATCAACTATCTCTATACCTTTTTACAATATATAACAGCAGTATGTGTGACCGCGATTGTCTCTCTATATATAGAGTCAGAAACTTCATGAAATAGAAGGAATATTTTAAATCTAAAAAATGGGGGGAATTAATTATTAAATATGCAAATATCTTAGTAAACCTAAAATTATACAGAAGAGTATGATTCCATGACTTTGGTAGTTTATTTAATAACTAACATATATTTTCGTAATATACATTTTGTACAAAAACTACTATTTAAAAAGGATGCTTACTGAGTAGAACAGCTTAGACTGATACCTAGTTTTTATGTTGTATGGATTAAAAAGATGTTGACAAATGGTATTTGCAAAAAATGTATGTACTTCCTTGTTGTACTGACCCATAGAGGGACAATGTATAATGTCAATCTCAATGGAACTGTCTGTATTATTTTTTCTAATCACTTCTAACAGGAAATATAAAATATTCTGTAGATTTCTATCAAGGATATAATTAACAAGTAACTTAAAATCTCCATCACTCATGGAAGTATGTGATTCTAAAACTGTCATGCATGGAATGATCTTCCATGAAAATCAAACCATTAATCCATTTTAATTTAGTCACCTCCAAAAGGGCAAAGATATAGAAGAATGCCAGATCTATTTATCAACTTGTTTATAAATTGTACAGAATCTTAACCATTCTGCATTAATATGATTAGTAATTTAGAAGTGTATGTACACCAGTTGATTACATTTCTTCTGACTAAAATAGAACAACAAATAATAAAAGATAGCCATATACAATAGTGTCTGTAACTGAGAAAAAATAATTTAGAATATTCAGTCTTTATATGGGAATTGTCATCAAACTGATATAATTTTGCCTATATCATTCATTCATATATCAGCTTCATAACTTCTCATAACTCAATTTATATCCCAAGGCTATGAGAATTAAAGTGACTTAAAGTTTGGCAAGCTAGAAAACAACCCATTTTCCAACCTGACAATTCTACCTATATAATAGGAATGAATGCAATTCATTTAGCTCACGGGTGTCAAACTTGCCATGTCACATGATGTATCGCGACATATCGTGATTTTTTTTTTGTATTGCTGGAGCTGGGGTGGGTGCGGCCTCCGTATGATGCAACCAGTCCTGAGGCTGGCAGTTTAACACTCCTGATTTAGCTACACCATTTCAAATCCCTTTAGAATTTTAATTTCTAAACTATTGGGAAAATTCAACAGAAATAAAATGTCCTAGATCAGTGATTCTCAACCTGTGGTCTGCGAACTCCTGGGGGTCCATGATGTCATCACAGAGGACCAACAAAGGCTTGAAGAAATGTTATGATTTAAATCTTGAGTTCAGTGTTTATGATTCATAGTCATGATCCATGGCCACAAAAGGTATTTAGAGGGTCCAGGATGAAGAAAAGGTTGAGAACCACTGTCCTAGATCATCCATGAAGAGTTTGGAAGGGGCAGACAGATTGTAGATAGCAGCTTAATTTGCAACGCTAAGTACAACATTCTGAAAAACAGAGCAATTTTATATTGTTATATACAGGAAGCATCTTCCATAATATAGAGTGGCAAGGTTTCTTAACTTGCTATTAACTTCATTTATTCATTGCCAGAATGCATCAAAGTACATGAGATGAAGTGATATATTCCTTCTGGTTAGATATGCAAAAACATCATTTCAAAATGCTGTTAGCATAGTTAGAGAGCATATACTGTGTGTGTGGTTCTTCTTTGTGTGAATTGCACAAAATATGGAAATGAACCACTTGATTACCTGCATATCATTTCACATTTGCATGTATTGACAGACTGAAATAGAACTGCCATACAGAAAGGAAAAAAAATATGACACAGCCA